AATTTATGTGTGTGCGTGTATGCATGATTTGTGTGTATGTGCGCGTGGATGTGTGCCTGAATGCATGTATGCCAATTTCTGTCTTTGAAAAAGAAGTTGTGTGTGTATGTGCAAGTACGTACCGGGTATGTGTGAGAGAGCTAGTGTTACGGTTGGATCAATGTTCTGAACAGATTGAGTACAGTAATTTTAAAATAATTTTGGATCACCAGTGCCTGAGATCTATGTTAACGATACAGATAAGTCATGACAATTTATGTGTCACCTCATTTCTACAAATGTTTATTTTGTATTTCCAGTATCGTATTCTTCATGTCCAGTTGGATCAGTGATGAGTCGACCAGTGCCAGAGAACTGTACGAGAACTTGAGACAAAGTCTCCTGGATATGAAACACATGGTGGAGAGCCCGGAGGCGCAGGCAGCCAGACTTTGAACCCATTCAGAATGGTCCGAGGATCTTCTGATCCTTGGATCAAATATGGCAGACTCACGTGAAAGAAGAGACAAATAATCTGCTGACAGTCCCCTGAATGGCCTCTTTGAGTCCACACTTCAAGAGGGGCAGATGGAGGTGGTTTTCTGCGTCTTCCAGAAGACAGTCAGAATTTTTCAAGCGTACATTGACGGGCATGTATTTCTTGCTGTCGGGAGAGGGTCTAAAATGGAGTATAGATCAATAGAGATACTCGGAAGACTGTCAGAAAATATCTGGATCTTCCCCCTCTTCAGACATTTTACCAGAAAATTGTTACTACATTTTTATTCTGAGTGATTTTCATTGAAGTGCAATTCTGTTTGGGGGTACTAAATTGTTATTTTTAAAAAAGTGAAATGTTTTCATTGTCCTAATGTACATAAAATTTGAATTCTTGTTAATAATCATAAAAAAATGATAATGAAGTTTCATGAACAGTTCCAATGTATAAAGACCTAAAATACTTTGTTACTCGGTATAAATCTTTGAAATTTCAACAACTTCTTTTAGCTATTTTTTTCAAGATTTGTCAAATTACCAGGAAATATCTCATAAAAAAGTACTTTCTAGATTGAAGCTAATGCCTTTTTCAGAATGTTCAGAAACAACATGTTAAGCGTTATGTATCACCAACTAATAATTATTTTTGAAAATTATATGACAGTCATTGTGTAAATTTTGCTTAAATCTAATAAGGAATGATTAGTACTATAAGGTCTTGTATGGGCTTTTATTTGAGTGTATAAATTAAGTTCAAGGTATGCAAAGGTAAATGCTAAAAGACCCTTGGGAATATCCTGACAATAATGTAGACTGTGATTTGATTGTCTTTCAACCTAAAAGGCTGTAGCACTATCTCAGAAATTTCAGTATTAATTTATAATATTTTTGTACCAGTTTTAATGATAGGTCATTCATGATGCTTAATACTTAGATTTTAATTGAGGTTAGTAGGTTACCTACTTGCTCATGTATCATTGGGTAGCACTGAAAATGCCTTTACTTGGAAAACCTACTTAAATGTTCTAAACTTTTTACCATTTCAGTAGGTTCAGAAAGAAGTCAGAGCTCAGGATAATCTTATATATATATATATATATATATATATATATATATATATATATATATATACTCCTGTAATAAACCAAAACTACTGTCATTTCACAGACTTCAGTGTGTACATTCTGAATTTATTTTAAACGTATCTCTGTCGGGTTATGATATTAATGTAAAATTGTGTTAGAGTGTTCATTTGTAGTTCTTACATTCAACAAAAGTATATGACAGTTATTACAATGCAGTAGTGGAGTTAGGGAGGTGTCAGGGAGGTCCTGACCCCCCCCCCCCCTTTGGTTTCTGAAAAAATCATACCATTGGTCCCCTCGTGAAATTAGAATTTTGACAAGCTGAATCATAGTTCTTAACCGTACCAAATGGCACCGTCGCCCTCTAAAATACCAAGAATTTCCAGTTGAATTGATATGAGATTTAGGGCGTATTCCCAGAGCTTTTAGATCAATCTATCCCCGCGGGGAGTCTCACTAGATTACTTAAATGTCCGTCCCGCCTACTACAAACTGTAAGGGGGTAATTAACTTTCGTGCCCGCTCGGCTGACAGCTATTTAGCGTGAACCCCCAGGGAGTTAGGTCGATCTAGAGTAGATCGATCTAATCTCTGGGAATGGGGTCTTAATTACTGTACTCCCGCAGGGATGACACGTGGGGAGGCGTGAAAGAGGCCATTACAGGATTAAGCGGTCTTCCTTTCATGTATGTCCGCCATATTTAGGCCGTGGACCAGCTAGCACTCGGCTCTTCTCATTATGAATGGTCCCTAATAGACTAACTGGTGCGTGAGCTTTCAGAAAACAGTTTATATTACTAATGGCCAATATTCAAAATTATGTAACCATTGTGCATTTGTACATCTCTCCTGATTTACAACTTGGCTTTACATGATGCTGCTTCAGAAATAACTGACAAGTAGACAAGGCGGGATGAATGATTGCCAGCAAAATTTCTCTGCACTGAAATTTGAATTGTTTTTTTAATAATAATAATAATATTTTATTGGAATATTACAACCCGAAGGTTGAAGTTTTACATAATATATATACTTTATTTATTTATTTATTTATTTATTTATTTATTTATTTATTTAAATGAAATGAATGTATGTGAAAGAAGCCTGGTCATTTTTGCCCAATTACACTCTATAGGCGTTCTCACCTCCCTGGGGAGGATATCTGATTACTATATTAGCCGATATACCACCTCATAAAATGTTTCACTGAATGGACAGTTCAATTAAGATTACTTTCGAGTTACGGAGCCCAGGTTCTTCATGTAGCAGGATGCAGGATTCCTACAACACTTCCCAGCAAGATAGCACTTCACACTATTTTTTAAACGAGTAAGCAGACGCCGTTTTATAGAAACAACACGTAAAGGGGTGCTTACTGTTAATGCTCTCTCTCCGTCTCATACATGTACATGTGTAAGTGCGTTTTTTTTTAATGAAGAGACACTCCCCACTCTAAGCGTACAAACGAATCCATAGGTAGCATTTTGGCTTTCCAAACCACACAGAAAACGAATTATGACAAATTTCGTTCAAATGAGGTATTATTTTAATTTCATACTTCCTTTTAATGTAAAAAGCCACATTTAATTTGTATTGTTAAAATGCTACTTTATAATAAAATGCTTAATAAGTTGAAAAGCATTATTAGGCAATATATCTTAAAATATCCTTTTATTTTGGACAAAATTTAATATTTGTTAAAATCAGCAGATGGAAAAGACGTTAAAACTTAGCGTCCCGATGCCCCCAGTTTAAAAATCCAACCCGTCGGACTGTTAGTTTTTAAAAAGGCCCCGACGGACACTGATCTGACTGAACATGCACTGTCGCGTCACGCAGGTATTCCGTTTCACGACATTTGTACGTTTTTAGTCTATAAATTAAAAATTTTGATCATCACAAGCATCATACGAAGACTATAAGGTTTTAACGTTTTGTGTCCCATTAAAGACCCCAACACTTTCTGCTATATAGCTAATTTGTACTGATTTCTTGGGACTCTGAGCTGCCATTTCTTGTTCTACCATTTCTGTCACACCGGTTTTTGTACAGGTCATCACTGGCTTCATTCCAGAGTATGTTTTTTCGTTCGTTGCATGTATGATCAAAGACATATCGTGTATGAAGAAGGTTGATGAAGAGAGCCGCGATCTAATCACTCGCTACTGGGAAACTTCCTCCTATGCATTATGCCGTGCATAAAAAAGTACACTGGTTGATCAACAAGACGGCGGTGATCTCCAACTCCTGAACTCTTGTTGACGTGGAATACTCGAAATAATAAACTAATTATTCCAATTAACGTGACGGTTATGTCCTACCGTGACTCTAAGTATTCTTGTTTACCAGCGCCAAATGCACGCTGCTCGAGTGTATACCTCAAGACTTAGGGTGCATTCCCAGAGATTGAGATCGATCCAGAGATTCAGATTTAGATCGACCTAACTCCCTTGGGGTTCACGCTGAATTGCAGTGTCAAGCGCGCACCACAGTTAATTACCCTTTTACAGCTTTTAGTAGGGGGGACAGACGCTTAAGCCGGTTAAGCTGACAGTAATCTAGTGAGACTCCCCACAGGGATAGATCGATCTAATATTTATGGGAATGGGGTCTTAGGCAAGGCCGCCGACGTGTTTCAGTAATTACTTGCTCAGCGGCATGAAATCGTATCTTCCAAGAAGAGTTGGAGATGTATAAATGACCAGCAAACGCTGATCTGCGTCACTTACGTGCAACGACTGCACAGAGATTTCGAATTCAAAAACATGTTGATCATCCGCCTTTCTTTATGCGCGCTGATATTTGTTCAGCTTGCCCATGAAAATGGTCAACTTGCCGGTTTAGCCCAAAAGTCGCCCAACGTTGAGATTTGGACGCTTGCGGGATTCACGAGGGATCCAAAACATCTTAGAGATGGAGTGCAAGAGATAACCACTAAAAAGTCGCCCATTACTGAGGGAAGAACTCGCAGGGGAATCACACAAGAGTTGTCCACTGGTGAGGGTAGAATTCAAGAGGGAATTACACAGAAGTCGTCGCCCACTACTGAGGGGGGAATGCATGTGCACGTCACACAAGAGACGCCAACCGCTAAGGGTGGAATGCACAATGAAGTCACACAAGAGTCCCCCAGTCAAAAGGATACATTTCGAGAAATGTCTGACAACGGCAGTGAAACCTCTTCTTTCCCAGACGTGACTCTCACGCCGTATAGATGGCTCTGTGCAAGGGGAGGTAAATTCAGGATCCAGGTCCACTGCTACTGCGATCCTGTGTGTGTCCTGTATGGTGACTGCTGTTATGGGATGACAGAGAATGCGACTGTCTGCGCTGCTTCTGTCAGATTAAGAAGGACACACGACACAATGCAAGCTGCAACGGTTCCTGGAACCAACGCAACAGATTCTCAAAGTGACAGCACCACCTCGACTCCATCCCCTAACAAAACATTTTCTTTGATACGGGGGAAAAAACAAGTCGACCCTGTGTCTATCTCCCTGGCACATAAAAGCTCCTGTAGAAGAAGTCCAACATTACATCGAAAAAACCGACAAACCACATTACCCTTTGTGGATAATTTTGGACTAATGTTTTGGATGGTGGACCAGTGTCCGACGTCTTGGCTGGAAGAGGAAAGTCGTATGAAGTGCATTGATACCTCAAATACTAGCCTCACAGAGGACGCGCTCTTGTACCAGCCAGTCACCGACCCAGATACAATGATAACTTTCAGAAACAAGTACTGTGCAACCTGTAATGGTATCAAGGAAGGCGGGGAACCGTGGGAACTCGTCGTCTATTCCACTAAGAACGTACCATTTGACTATTTGCAAATTGCAGCTCCTCGGATTGCGTGTTAAAAAAACTTGACGATGGCGGAAGTAATGTTATTTTCGAGCCAAAACCGGAATGGCATTTACGAACGTGCTTCAGGGAAGTTGGGGACGATGCCTTCGGTCCTTGCAAGTTCAGTTTTATCAATGGAAGCGTGCGTCGTGTACCTCGTCCACTCCCCCTGCACTCAGCTTTACGAGATGCCTGTATGGCGTACAACAACCCCGTTGTCTTTGGCGGTGTTGATATCAGTCACAAGAACTTCCACTGTATGGTGTGTTATCTGGGTGATTTTCTACTCTGTGAAGGTGAGTGGTATGTTTAAATATATAAGAAACGTCATATGTGATCAATTAGAACTGTACATTCTAGGCGTGAATAATTTTCATTAAGCTTACTTGCCTCCCTCGTAACCTCGGCGAGCAGGATTGTGGAACCTTAGAAATAAAATACGCTTGATGAGAATGTCATTTTTGTTTTCTTGAGGCGTAGTTTTGGCATGTTTTCCCTAGATAAATGGTTTAATTCAATTTTGCCAATAATATCACAAAGAAAATGGCTAAATGTAATTGATATTGCCAAGATTCATTTTTTGCTGTGCGATATCTTTTGAATCAATTTATTTTTGTGGACATTACATAGGTAGGTCGAATTTCAGTTCAAATAAGTTTTTTATTTATAATCCGGAAAAAGCAAGCATTGATTTCATGTTGACGGAAAACTGTCATGAATTACTGAGAAAATTGCGTTTTTTTGTGGAGATATGAAGAAAGTTATTAGCACTCTAATATAAGGTATATTAGCTTTTGCAGCTTGGGATTGAGCGTAATGTGTAACACTTTTATATAAAAACAGTCAGTGTTTAGATCGAAGATCTCTTTAAGTTACACGTACACGAGCTTGGATTTAAACTTTTAATAGTTTCTCATACGACAAAAATAAAATCGACATGTCAAGGGTTAAATCGACTCAATCACTCAAAAAAGCATGAAACGATGACCTTTGGCATCTGTATTGGTTATAATATTTTAAATCTTACGGTGGCCTTTGGTCAGGTTTTGTGGCAAAAACATTGACTTAAAATTCGCCTGTAAATGTGAGCATATCTTAGGTCACAAATGGCAGATTAAAAAAAAAACAGCTTTTTAAAATGTCTAAAAAGCCTTTTTTTATGTTGGTAGAGGGTAATTAACTAATTGAATAGCTACTCAAGGAGGCGTGTCAGACAAGATGATTACACTGAATGCATTTTAGCGAGAATACCCCTCAGCAATGGCGCAACCCAGCTGGTACGATATTTGAATCTAAACGCGGTTGTAAAGCAAATAAATCTAGTTATGTGAACTACAACAACTAGGCCGATTGAAGAACACGTAGCTGTTCTTGTTTGCCAAGTTTACATGCCCACTAACTAATTAAATTAAATGTTATATTCAGATCAGAATTTCACACCGCCACCGGAAAGATATTTCGGTCTTTCTCTCCGCGCCCTATTGTACCTGGGAGACCAAGACCAGGAACAGAGTGATGACGTCATGACTAGGGTGAGAACAGCAATAATTATAAATAATGAGGATGATGATGAAAATTGCATTTAGATAAAAGATTGTAAATTATTACTTCATTAATCTTTTCCTGCATTTGTCACGTTAATATTCTGATGCAATTATTGTCATAAGATTTTTTCTCGACTTTATGGATGTTAACTGCTGCCCTGAGCCGTACGGCGTAAAACCATGCATGTATATATATTTAGACCACGGTGGAAGTGAAGAACAAAAGACTTAGACGTGGTGTAACTCGCATAACCGCACGTCTCGCATGAATGCATTATAATCCGTTCATGGACCCGTGGTCTAAATAAGATAGACCCCTCGTCAGCGAGGGTTATGTGACATCCACTCGTGCTACGCACTCGTGTATGCCACATAACCCTCGCTGACTCGGGGTCTATCTATTACATATATATATATATATATATATATATATATATATATATATACAATGTACATCCGCACACGTGCCTTTTTTCAGCCTGTAAACCAGCAGATAGTGTGCCCCCCTGGTTTTGTTCCTGGCCTCCAGGACTGCCGCCCCCTTATGTACAATGTCACTGTAATACGGTCGATCGTTTCCTTACATTTTGAACCGTGTGGCTGGGTTCCAACACCCAGAGATAGCTGTAGAGATATCCGAGGAGATGCTCGATTGGTAGCTGTACTGAGAGCTGTTCAGGCACGTATTAATAAGTGTGGTCAGAAACACGGCGCGGATAACACGTCCATCACTTTTGTCGTTGACACAATGGTCACTCTTCGAGTGAGTCTAGCGCACTACGAGGAAGGTCGCAACGTTTTCGACCAAGCACAAGCATGGATGGAAAATGCTCTGCAAAACGCGCAGTTGGAGATATCCGGACGGCCAGTGGGTATACGTACAGGATCGTTCTCCACCTGTACGAAGAACCCCACGAACCACAGCTCCGTGACGCCATTTCATGGAGCGTCCACGCTCTCAACCCCGAGGCAGAGCCGAGGAAATGTACCTGTTGGTAATATTAGAGTTTGGTTGTTAATGGCGCTGGTGGCAGCGGTGTGGGATATCTATGGGTAAGACCGTATAAAGAATGATATAGGATTGGGCACTACCTTGACTAATCAATCCATAGATGTATATCTAAGGTTTTTTTTTTTTTTTTTTTTTTTTAGGTTCTAAAAACAGATACATTTTTACTATTCAGCAAAATCATTCTGTGGACGTCATGACCCCCGCCAACAAGTTTCCGTTTCTGCCCTTGGTTTGTTTTCAAGTTAACAGCCTAACTCATAAAGTTGTGGGCCCATTATGATTAACATTTTAGGATAAGTCAGAAATGGACCCGCTAAGAAGCGATTACATTTTGGTGGCTGTCCTTTATTTGATTAATTAATCATGATTATTGAACTGTCTTGACGGAGGCTTGCGCTCTTTGATTGTTTTTTTAGTTTGGTTTATCAACACACTGTGTCCGTATTCTGTATTCAGTTAGAATAATGCATACAGCAGGTTAGAGCTCTTTACAAGAGGCCATGCATCTCTTTGGCTTCATTCAAATGCAATGTCTATTTTCTAAATTCTATTTTCTATTCGCGGTATGTCTTATGATCACGGTCTGTGCCCTGAATATCCCGCGGCGTAATTACTGGCAGCGCGAGCTAGTTACTATAAGTAACTATAAGTAACTGGCTCGCGCTGCCAGTAATTACGCGGCGGGATATTCAGGGCACAGACCGTGATCATAAGATAGCGCGAATAGAAAATAGATTTTTAGAAAATAGACATTCCATGTGAACGAAGCCTTTATATCAAAGGCCCTACCTGACGTCTTGCTGGACAATACAGGAAAGTACATTGAATAAGATTCCGTTCACATGGAAAGTCTATTTTCTAAAAATCTATTTTCTATTCGCGGTATCTTGTGATCACTCCGAGCGCAGCCGAGCATTAATTACAGCTTTGGAAGTAACTGGCTCGCGCTGCCAGTAATTACGCCGCGGGGTATTCAGGGCACAGACCGTGATCACAAGATACCGCGAATAGAAAATAGATTTTTAGAAAATAGACTTTTCCTGTGAACGGAGCCTTAGCCAGAGACATATCTGTGAATTTCTAGTGAAAAATCAATCTGTGGTCCTGGTAGAGGGTAAAGGATTCGGTTCTCTTTTTGATTCATTTGATTCACTGTTTAAACAGTAACAGGTCTTGTGGCGCATGTCTGGTAATATACATGCATGTAGTTATTGTAGTATATTGATCTATGATAGCACATTATTTGCACGTGTAACAAACATATCCTTGATTGAGTGATATTATCATCAATCAGTGGCGGATTTGGGGGTGTGCCAGGGGGGTCCTGACCCCCCTTCGATTTTTGAAAAAAATCACACCAATGGTCCCCTTGTGAAATTAGAACTTTGAGAAGCTGAGTCATAGTTCTAAACCGTACCAAATGGCACCGTTCGCCCTCTAAAATACCAAGAATTTTCGGAGCCCTTCAGCGGGTCCGAACCCCACGCCAAAAGGGGGGGGGGTCGACTTCGCATCTGCGGTTCCCCCTTCAAATAATCCTGGATCCGCACCTAATCAATTTAATACATAAAAATTAGACGTATTGGTGTAAAGGTTGACAATTTGCAAAAAGGGAGGTTACATGTTATTAAATATTGCAGAAACTGACCAATTTATATGAATTACATAATTATAAGTGCATTGAGCATTGAGTCATGAATTATTTGACGATTGGTGTATAGAAAATTTCAAGTTATGTGACTAATTTCAGGATTTTAACTAAATTGATTGCAAGCATAATTAACTACAGTAGGAGAAGAACATGATATGATTGCACACAATATTTTAAAGGATTTATTGTTTGTTGATGTTAAGGCCTAGATTACATTTGCAAAGGTCACGTACAATTTTCCGTGTTTTTTTTCTGACAACGCACGTGGGAACTGGCTTGGGTAAATATGTTTACATTACGTGAGGACGCCAGTGCCATTTAATTCTCCGACATTATGCTTGGGATCAAGTAGGGAAAAAAAGTTTTTCGAAAAAAGGAAAGTGAGGGCACGGAATATTCGTTCAGTCTCAGTGCAGTTGCCGTAAGCTGCTTTCTTGAAGATCGCAACGTTGTCGGCGCAGTACCCTACGATTTTTAGCACCCAGAATAAAGCCCCCTTTACACTGTATGTGCCGACAACTGGCCGATCATTGAGCATTCATTCTGATACAAAATCAATGCTCGTGCCTCCTTATTAAGACCACAGCGATACCAATTTCATGGTCGCAGAAAGGACGCAGAAAGGACGCCGTCCAGTGTAAAGGGGGTATAAGGTAACATTCTGCATGTGATTAACACTAAGTTTTCTAAAACATCTTTACTATTATTTTGCCTCCAAAAACCACCAAAGCTGGAAGGGAAACAGTCCAACATTAGGTTCAATCATCATCACGATCACGGCAAGTCCACCTAACAATGGCCGCACGGAACTGTGAAATGTGAACAACGATGATGATAAGGTGTCCCCTAAATTATTTCAAATTTTTTTCGAAAGTTGTAGCTTGACAAAATCGGACAGCCTACGATTGCCGTGAATCCGCACGATTTCGCACGGCCACCGCCTGCATTCGCCCAGAGGCCGCACGAAAAGGGATTAACGGGCAGTATCGGTAAACCCGGTACGTGCACCGTACACTCACCATTTCGCACGGCCAGGGATTTCGCACGAAAAGGGATTTATGGGCAGTATCGGTAAACCCGGTACGTGCACCGTACACTCACCATTTCGCACGGCCAGGGATTTCGCACGAAAAGGGATTTACGGGAAGTACGGGGTGGGGGTGGGGGTATATGTAATGTACGGACATCGCATGGCAATTGTAATCTAGGCTTAAAATTAGTACCTCGTGCAATCTGACAAGTCATTTTATATACGATTTAACGTTCTGGAATTCGAAGACTGTTTTAAACGTTGTGAATGACTTAAGTTGTAAATGTTTCATGTTGTATAGAAAAAAAGCTATATCGTTTCATTAATCGCAAAGACAGCAAATCTTAACTCAAATTCAATTAACTACAAAATGGACAGTTATAAGTAAAAGTGATTTTTATTAGGGATAAATTAAAAGTCTCAGCGCAGAAATGTATTTTGTATTAGACAAATTGAAAATTATTAAGGGATTCGGTTAATTGTTTGATTTTGCAATCCAACGGTATATTTTATGACATTGACAACAGCTGTACACTGGATGATTACAATTTGGAATCCATGGCCAAGTAATTCAAATAAAATCGATATAGCTTTCTTGTGCGTTCGGCTTAATTACCTCTTAGGAAGCATTCACATCGAGAAGAGCCGCTAACGAGTAAAGCCGAGGTCTAGTAAGGCCGCGACCTAAATAGGGCGGGCCGCTAATCTTTTAATGGTCTCTCCGCCTCTCACACGCCCCCCCCCCCCCCGCACCCACGCGTTGTCCCTCGACCGGTTGAATTGAGCTGAGATTTAATATTACTGTGCTCCTGCAGGGACGCCGCGTGGTGAGGATATTAACAGGATTAGCGGTCTTCCTTTCATGTAGGTCCGCCATATTTAGGTCGCGGCCTTACTAGACCTCGGCTCTTCTCGTTGTGAATGCTGCCTTACCGGCTCTAAGAGACATGTCAGACAGTTCAGCTGTTTCAGTAATTGCACTTTAGCGAGAAACCACCGCAGAGTTGACTATAATTGTCTTAAATAATCTGACCGCAATTTACGATATGTCATTAGAACTTTGACAAGCTGAATCATAGTTCTAAACCGTACCAAATGGCACCTTTCGCCCTTTCAATTACCAACATTTTTCGGGGCCATTCTGCAGGCCACGAAGCCCATGCCAAGGAGGGGAGGGGGGCTTTACATCCGCAGACCCCCCCCCTTCAAATAATCCTGGATCCGCCCCTGTCATGTATTGGGTTTTTTTTATTAATATCCTAAATTTTTTATCATTTGGCTATTTTCTGACCTTTCAAACTCAAAGTCTCCTATATATATATATATATATATATATATATATATATATATATATATATATATATATATATATATATATATATTGATACATGACAAAGGCCCTACATCTTATACATGTATATACCGTACCAGTACTCTTAATTAATTATCATGAAAATCTTAATTTGTGGACTGGCATTAATATAAATATCTTATCAACAGGAATGCAGTCAGACAAATCAAAATTACTTGAGTATATTTTGATTAAAATAGTTTTTGTTTTTGGTAATGTTTTATGGGGTAGCCTACATGCATGTACATAGGCCCTACATGTATAACTTGGACATAAAAAGGAACCTTCTCTTATTATGTCCAAGTGTATAACGAAACTGACGTACTGCATGGTACCAGAACATGTATAGGCCTACCCAGTATACATAATTGATAAACTCTGAAATAAAAGCGTACTGGATATGTTTATTTTATTTTATTTATTTATTTATTTATTTATTTATTTATTTATTTATTTATTTTTGTAAATTCAGTAGGCCCTCATGTGTTGCCTTATTTTGATCGATGCTGCAGCTATTTAAAAAATATGCCATTTAGGCCTATTAAGCGATTTGGTTATGTTGACCTGTGAAATGACCACAATTAATTCAGTATATTAGAGAAACACCGGTTTCTTTTCCTGCGAATTAACGTACGGTAGGCCTACTGTAACTTGTCAATGTTCTGGAAGTTTTTTTTTTTACACATTATCAAAAACAACAAATATTTTCTTCTTGTCAGTTGGAAATCATAATTCGTAGAAAGAATTTTCGTTGTACCTCATTTAAAAACAAAAACCCGCACATGAATTAATTTAGGTTCCGAGAATCGAAAGATGTAATCGGATCAGCTTCGTTTTACCAATATAACAGATTTGGCTAAGTACGCATGCGCAGTACACCGGAAGTAACCGATAAACAACCGTGAATTGCGTGATATGAAATACAGTAACTTCAAGCACGTTACTCTCTTTCGGGTTGTTAAGTTTATGTGTGTTTTGACGGTGGTATGTGGCAGATAGGAATTACGTGATAATGGCCAGAAATCCAAAGGACCTCAAGCAGATGGTTGAGTCGAGTAAACAGGTGAGAAATACCCATATACGTTTGACTGCCGAGTTTGAATTTCGTTTTGCTACCGTTTACTCAATCACTGCCCCTGACTCAGTCGTTCTCTCATCTTTATCTTCATCAGGCTGGGGTTTTATATGTTTTTAACAGTTAATTGAATATCAAAAGACTTCAAAGAGTCCAGATTTTAATTCAGAGTTTAAAGCAAGGCTAGATTCTACTACATTCAGAGCTACTGCTACTGTGCTACTGGTATTAATAGACAGCTCTCTGGTGCCTTTTTGAAATTATTTTATTTTTTAAACATCTTAACGAGCAATTAACCTGACAATAATTATTATACTTAATACATATTGACAGCTCTTAAATAGTCTGCGCCAAATACTTTTCAATGTTCAGGGCACCAGGATCTGAGAATCTACTGGTCTGGACCAAAATTCACTGGCCCAGATCCAATTAAAAAAAAAAAAATTATGAAAATAAAATAAAAAAAAAATAATAATAATAAATTAACACATGGAGATTAAACAGGTTTCTTATTACAAATAAGAGCAAAAACATGGGGTTTTCAAAAGGTCATTTAAAAAAGACTTCATCATTTATCAATTGAATTGGAGTACATCTTACAGCTGAAAAAATCCACTGGCCCAGTCAGGCCAATAACTGATGGTTTTTCAAAATTTTCACTGGCCCTGTCCAAAGTTTTACTGGCATTGGCCAGCAGACCAGTAGTTAACATTGCAGACTGCATAAACCAGTCAGATAAAATATATTTGTAACTTTTGATGTTTTTGTTTAAATACTAGTAGTAGAGGGAATCTAGTATGTTTTCAAAATCCTTATTATTTGTTTGNTATATATATATATATTTTTTTTTTTTTTTTTTTGCATCATGTTATGTATTCGCACAGTGCAAATCACTCGCAACTGGTGTAACAGTTATGATAATATTTATGTTTTGACTGCTGACATTGAAAAAATAAAAAAGTGCTAGTAAGACACTTAATTGAAAGAAGTGTACTTGTAGCCAGGGAGAGAAAAGGCGAGAGAGAGAGTGAGATGTACCTCTTGTAAATCAAAATGAAACAAAAATCTCTTTCCTCGGCAATGCAGTAATTATATAAGCTACTGGTACATAAATACAGTATTTGTTTTCTCATTGCAGGTCCATGCAAGAAGAGATAAAAATGAGTGAAGAAAGACACAGGTCTGAGATGAAAAATTTACAACAAAAGCTTCAGGACACAGAGGAGAGATTGAAAGGTAACATGTTTCCACATGGTCTGTACTGAAACTGAAGTTACTTGATTATTTCTCAGCTGTTGAAAATTACTTTTTACTTTTAATTTTATTTAAGTACCAGTAATAATTTTTAAAATGATGCATACTTGGATTAATGTAGACATGAACATATTAGGATATCTACCATGTTGGCATTTTTGTTAATTATTTTAGAAAAAAACTAAAATCTATTTCTAGTATATTGTATGTTTCTTCAGCTGCCAATGCCAGGATACAGGGGCAGTTGGAAAGTAAAAAGAGTGAAGATCTTGAAGCCAACAAGAAGATTCAGCAGTTACAGAAAGAGAAGGATGAGATGCTGGATCTTGCCATGCAGAGAGGGAAGCTTGTGCAGGTACTGAGGATGCAACTTTTAGATAAATGGCACATAATGAGTTACTCTACCTTTCTGTAGCCAAAAAAAAAAAAAAAAAAATGAAAGAAAGAAAGGGAAAAATTTTGGAAATTTCAGCAATTTTCCATTTATCAACAAAGTTAAGGATTGAGTAAAATATACATTTGTATAGCAAAAAGAAAAAGGAAGGAAGAAAAAGTCCAAGAAAAGTCAGCAATTTTTCATTTATGAACAAAGTAAAATATTAATACCTTTACATAGCAAAAAGAAAAGGAAGGGAATGAAAAATCCTGGAAATTTCAGGATTTTTCATGCATCATCACAGTAAATTCTATACACAACAGCTGGCAATGGCTTATTGTGTGCTCTACATCTCTTTTTTACAGAAAGAACAGTCTGAAAACAAAAAGTTGCAGAAGAAAATTGAAGAACTCGAGAAAGCAGTGCAGGATATGGAGGCAAAGTTTGAGTAAGTTGTTAAATACCCACGGCTGCCTTAACCAAAAGAATTAAGACTTAAAGTTGGTCTCAACTTTGAAAACTTAATATTGTGACATACTTCAATTCAGTATACAAACAATGTACATGTATATATTGGTCCACTAAAATCAAGTGATTATCAGTCTAAAATATTATAATATTTAAAATAAAAACAACCACAATTATTTGTTGAAGTGAACTACAAGTGTTTTAACTGTTGAGACCACCTTGAGTCAAAAAAGGCTAAAAATGTTAGTCTTAAAGTTAGAACCCTCTGTGTTAATCAGCAGAATTCAGTCTATTACAAGTAGAAGGCTACAATGATTATGTTGGAGTCATACAGGTCCCATGTAAAAATAAGGGATGGGGGCAGGCACTGTGTTAGGCTAAATTTCTTCTCTCTATCTTGGGACACTGTTTCATAGTTCTTTTTTTTTTTTTTTTTTATTCATGTAGGCGCGAAGCAGCCATGGTGAATGCCAATCTCCGAGTGAGAAAAATGCAAGAGGAAATGGAGGATGCCGTGGAGAGAAGAGATGAACTGGAAAAGGTAAATTTGCCTGAAAATAATTATATAGGAATTTTCTTTAAGTATGAGGAATTTGGTCTTGGTTATCAGAAAAGAAAGGCAGAGGATTGCGAAGTTAAAAACCTTAAATAGTCTTATTTGTAGCTATTAGGTTACGCCTTGACATTTTGAAGATCTTTGAATATGCTGTTGAACTTGTCTTGTTATTTTTTTATATTTAATATTTTTTCTTTTCTTCAGGAGTTTGAAGCCTACAAGAAACACTCCAGCTCACTTCTGCAGAAAGAGAGAGAACTCAATGCAAAGCTGAGACATTTAATGGGATGACAAAACTAAGAAACTTCTGGTCATTACATGCACTAATCAGCTCACAAGAATTTTTTCAAGTGATGATGGTATTTGTTAGAAAGAGGGAGAAATCGGGCAAAAGCTGAGATATTTGATGGAATGAAAAAGGAAATCTTTGTTCTTTGCTGTTGGTAGTTTTGTTAATGACTTGAAATGGCTGTTTGAATTGAATGAGAATTCTATAGCCAGCCGTCTATTCCAGAAAGGCTTATTTCCTTTTCTAGAAGGGAAATGGTCTTTTATGTACAGTGCCTAATGTTAATGATTGTAAATACTGATTGTCAATCTTAAAGTAGACAGGACATACTAAGAAACAAACACATTTCACATCAACATCTTCCATGAATGGTTGTTGGTGTCACCTGTCCATACAATTTAATGTGATATTTTATTTCTTAAGATATATTTCACATTGCAAAAAACAATTTCCTATTGGACCTGTGAAGTATGCATAATTTGTTCATCAAATATTTTTTCAAATATGATTTAATAAGTATTATTATTATTATTTTACCGTTTTTCTATAAATAGATACAGTGCTATATATAGTACTCATTTGCACTGCTGCCTTATTATATTGAAAAGAATCCGTCCAATCTTATCAATTTCATGAACATGTAAAACAGGACTTCCTGCTAGATATTTTCTACAGTCACTGTAGATGATGTGTTGTGTACTTTGTGCCTTAAAAGTTAGATGTTGTAATGTAAAGGAAAGGATTCTAAATCATGCTAAGTGTGTAAGTATGCAAAAGTTTTTTTTATGGTTATTTTTTCTTTTTTTTTTTTTTTTTTTTTTCATACACACTTGCCCATTTTTAGCATGACAAAACAATCAAATCAGTTTTTTAAAGGGGTCAAGTCTAGTTTAAGTGTGCCTTCCTGTGTTGGTTATCCAGACCAACTACGCTGCATTTAGTTGCATATGTTTAAAGAGACAACATATTACAAAACTGTTTCATTAATTATGAAGTCATTCATATATATGTGTGCTGTCACGTCACATTTGCTGATATCTAGTAAATGGAATATGGCACATGAAGATCTATTTGCACGTTCTAAAAGAATCTAAACAATTTGTTGATCTTGTCATTAGCAAATAAAAAGAATGGCAATGTTCAAGGATTCTCTTTGTTGGGAGTTGTGCCCTATTCAACAAACTAACGATTGTAAAAAGCAGGCTACAAGCTCCAGTATCTAGTGAAATAGTGGCCTTGCTCAAGAAGGGGTATTTAAACCAGCTTCTGACTGAGAATTTCCAAGTTTCTGCATTGAATAGGTGGGCCTCATAAAAGTAGATGTAAATACCAGGACAAAATTGGAATATTAGTTTACATGTCTGCCAAGAATCCCATTAATTTAAATATGATTCAACATGAAAGACTTTTTTTCTGGACAAGAAACTTTATTGAATACTTTGTCCAACTCACAATCCATCACAAAACAATGGCAGCATCTGGCTGGCTTTAATAACACACACACAGACGAGACCAGGGTGTCTAAGAGACTGGATATTAAATAACAGAAACTTCAGACCGCCTTTGGCAAACCGAGTGCCGCTAAGGAAAAAAAAAAACTATTTTACAATTTTCTAAAAAATACCAAAAGTTTCTACAAGTCACTGCATTTCTGTCTTGCTTTCAGTGTGGGCAGTTTTCCTCTAGGACGCCTCAAAATCAATAGTCGATGTAAAGGACTGAACATTTGCAGAAAAACTTCCATTTTAAATATGACTTCCGATTCCCTAGATGAAAACTGCCACTATTGTGTCCCTTTTCATCAAGTTCGGTCCAACCAAATCCTTGTGCAAAAAATATCCAAGCTGTGTCCTTCTATTACAATCAATTAAACAAGTAAATCTTTCAGTGCTGCTGTCCATCTTTATAATACAATTCCCACATTTTTTTCATTGAACAATTTCTAATTTTCATCGTGGAATACTATATGAAACAATAAGTAACCTAGATGTATTGTTTTAAGTCCTATGGTATAATTGCAGGTTAATTTGCAGCCTGTTCCTCGGCCAGTTCGTCAGCTCTGACCAACACCTCGTCCACTGTGCCAGTCATGTAAAAGGCTACCTCTGGGATGTGGTCAAGCTCACCTGTAAGGAAAGCGACACTTGTCACTGAACAACTGAAATAGGCTAATTCTGTAACAGCAAAATTTTTATCAACTCGCCCCCTAATATACTTCAGTATTCTTTCTACATTTTGTTTCTACTCTATTGTGTAGTGATGCTTCCATTTAATTCAATTTAATTCAAATTTTTACACCGAATATCAAACATAGGTCAGAATACATTTAACTAACAAGTCGTAGGAACAATTAGGAAAAAAAAAAAACAAGTCTGAGCTACTTTAGCATAATTGCATTAAAAGGGGGGGGGGGGGAAAAACAGACATACAATCACATCAAGTCCACCTACCGTTGAGAACCTGTTTAAATCCTTTGATTGTTTCACTGAGAGGCACTAGTTTTCCCTCCGTGCCAGTGAACACCTCGGCCACTTGGAAAGGCTGCGACAGGAACTTCTGCATCTTACGGGCGCGAGACACGGTCAGCTTGTCCTCCTCTGACAACTCGTCCATACCCAGAATGGCAATGATATCTTGCAGTGATTTGTAGTCCTGCGAAGTGGATATAAAATTGTTGAAGTCAATCACATTTCAAAGAATTTCTTTCTATAAATTTACATTGTGGAAGACATTTTTTTTTTTTTGTTTTTGTTTAAAGATAAAGAGATGCAAATCTAATATGCATATTCTTTTGCCTCATCCACTAAGCGAAGTAATAACATCATCACATTATTTCTGTAGTGAAAGTTTTAATCATAGGCAAAATAAATCCTCAGAGCAAATAAAACAATTTTAGCACAACACAAGGAATGCTATCATCCCAAAAGAGAAGTTAATCCACACCCATTCAAGTCTCTCTCTCTCTCTCACCTGCAACACCTTCTGTACACCACGTGCCACTTCGTAATGCTCCTCTCCGACCACATTGGGGTCCAAAATACGAGAGATGGAATCGAGAGGATCCACGGCAGGGTAGATACCCAGCTCAGCAATACCACGGGACAACACGGTGGTGGCGTCCAAGTGAGCGAAGGTGGTGGCAGGGGCGGGATCTGTCAAATCATCAGCAGGCACATAGATGGCCTGGAACACAGAAATGGGTGAAGATCAGTACACATTCATAGGAGACCATAAAATTGTACATCTGTTCACTATTACATTTATATTAATGGCTTGACATATAAAGTAAATCCAATTTTTAAAGTGGATTTTCAATTGCTATGTATGCACGGTTTAAAGAGCTTTTATGGCATTTGGTCAAATTCCGATGAGCCATACTTTATTTAACAATGCACAGTAAACAAAACCACACTGAATGAACAATAAACAAGTAAAAATGAGAAACACTGCTACTGTCATCATGGGTGTTTATTTTGCCCCTATCCCCATAATTACCAACAAACTGAACAACAAAATCAAACATACTAACATTCTGACATGACTTTGTATATAATTTTGAAGCAAAGCCTGATACATTAGCCCCATTTTCCAATACCCATTATTCACCTATAACTAAATGTATTATATAACAAAATATGTGGCTCGATAAAATATAGAAACCCATTAGAGAGAACTGACCTGTACTGATGTGATGGATCCCTTTCTTGTGGTCGTAATTCTCTCCTGCATAGTACCCATGTCAGTGGCCAGGGTGGGCTGGTAACCTACAGCTGAGGGGATACGACCCAGCAGGGCAGACACCTGCAATAATACAAATTAACAGTTATTATATTCTTTAAAAAAACTAGAAATTATTGATCTGGAAACCTTCAGCTGATGAGATATGCCCCAGCAGGGCAGACACCTGCAATTACACAAATTATCAGCTATTATCATTTATTTTTTAAGACTGGAAATTATTGATCTGGTTACCTCCAGCTGCCGAGATATGACCCATTTAATCATACACCTAGTATTACCATGACAATCAATGACTAAGTGCAAAGAATTCAGCAACCTGGTTATCTACAGCAGATGGGAAAAAAAAACTAGACGTGTAACACGTTTTAAATCCACCCAGATGTACCTCATCATAGGAATTTGAAACAGCCTAATTACAGTTGCCATATAAATTCTTATAATAGCAATCCCTATCATTTACTTTTTGATTACACATTAACATGCACTCAAACTGGTGAAAAAAGACTATTTTTTATCAAATTTTCCATTTTTACCTCAGAGCCAGCTTGTGTAAATCTAAAGATGTTATCAATAAAGAGCAACACATCTTGTCCTTCTTCGTCACGGAAATACTCGGCTACCGTCAGTCCAGTCAGAGCGACACGAGCACGGGCACCTGGGGGCTCGTTCATCTGACCATACACTAGAGCTACCTGCATTGGAGAGAATAATAATTCTTGTATAAACCTCCGCTTCAACTTTATGACACTCCCAACAGAAAAATCAAACTTTCAAAACAAGAGTTGCTTCTCAATTTTTCCTTAATTTCTGGAGTCCATTTATTTAATAAATTTATGCAATTTCGATAACATTTGAACTTTAATAATACTCATTTGCAACTGACAAAATGCATGGCCCATTATAAAACTAATAGTTAATACTTATAAAAAAAATGTTCAACATGTAAGCAAACCACTTACACAATGTTTCTAAAAGGGAAGAAAGTAAAATGTTTTACCTTTGAGGACTCATCCTTCAAGCTGATGACACCAGACTCGATCATTTCATGGTACAAGTCATTTCCCTCACGTGTTCTCTCTCCCACGCCAGCAAAGACGGAGTAACCACCGTGAGCCTTGGCAACGTTGTTAATCAGTTCCATAATCAACACAGTCTTGCCGACACCAGCGCCCCCAAACAGACCTACAAAACAAAAGACAAAACTCACTATAGATACCTTAATCTAATAATATTAATATAGTTTCCCATTATTAACAGAATGGTTCTTATTAACAACTATTATCAGGTTTAAAAAAATCAGCTTATGACCTTGTATAAATCACTATGATCTTTTTCTTTCAATGTCTCTGTTGAAACTTGCCGACCAATTCCAAATTTCTACATTTGATAGGAATTCCATGAAATACATTTTAGTGAGAACAGTGCCCTCCTCTCTTAGGTAAAACAAAGGCACTTGTGGTTTTAAAATATAACTTGCTACTGAATTTGATAATCATTCCCACAGTTCTTAAATCAATAACAAAATTCATGCCTCAATCACTAAGCGAAGTAATGGTATCAACACCCATGTTTCTGTGTTATAATGTTTTCATCACTGGCATGAATACAAATCAAAAGAAAAAAATCAATTACCTTATGTCATCACCAAACAATCTAATTCTATATCATATTTTATCGACTAATTAACTTTTTTTTGTATAAAAATGAAGCATTTTGTGCTCACAATGCAAAGAATGTTACAGTACAAAAGGACTGGAGACTACAGTTAAACATGCCCTGTGCACCCTCTTACCAATTTTTCCACCCTTGGCATATGGGGCCAAAAGATCTACCACTTTGATGCCTGTCTCCAAAATCTCCTGGTTGACACTCATTTCTACAAACTCTGGGGCTTCAGCGTGGATGGGGGCAAACCTTTAAATAAACAGTTCACATTAATAAAAAGAACACTATTCTAAACAAATGATGATGAAAAA